ACAATCATTGGCATTTGCAAGCAAAACATGGCATTTGATAGACATGTAGTTTGAACAAGCATTGAAGGACTTTCCCTAGTCTTAAAATGTTGGGGGAAAAAAAAAAATAATAATAATAATAAATAATAAATAAAATAATAATAATAAATAAAATAAAAATAAAAATAATACAAATAAATAAATAAATAAATAAAACAAAATAATAAAATAAAATAAAATAAAATAAAATAAAATAAAATAAAATAATAAAATAAAATAAAATAAAATAAAATAAAATAAAATAAAATAATAAAATAAAATAAAATAAAATAAAATAAAATAATAGCCCTTTGACCTGTGTGCCAAGTTTTGTCCAGTTGCATTCTGCTGACAGCGCCATTAGTTTTCTTATAGGCAGATCAGGGAAAGGCAAATTTATACATCCTTTGCATGCTCAGGGCCTATTTTGTCTCCATTTGTCCCCATGACCGAATGGAAATGTTAGTCAAATTAAGCTAAATACCAACAAACTTAGTTAAAGTGCACCTGCAGCTGTATTTTAAGACTCACTTAGGGTTATTGGATGTTTACTTGGATACTTATAGTCGAAATAGCTAAAAATACTTGTGAATTCAGAAGATGAAACATGCATCATGAAATTATACATTAATATTTTGCATTAGAGTTGCATTTGTTAACATTAGTTAAACACACTTATTAATTAAACACTTAAATACCTTATTGTCAGTCCATGTTAGTTAATGCATTAACTAATGTTAACACATGAGACGTTATTGTGAAGTATTTGACTCGAAAATGTATGAAAGCAATACATTACAATAGATATAACAAAACTTTGTTCTTGTTTATGTATTTCTAAAACAGTTTAGTTGTTACATTTGGTAGACGAATGTCCTTGTTTTTTTCAGAATATGCAGAGAATATTCAAAAGTTCTATAATGTGCAATTTCACTTAAAAAAAAATATATATATATGTTTTAAACATTCACAGAACATTCAGATTCAAACACAATAACAACAAACAATTATATATTTATGCACTAGCATTAACCCAGATTCAAAAAAGGCCTTATGATACCTAATGCATATACCGATATTAACTAATTCAGCGTTAAGTGGTAACCAGAATTCAGGCACAAATGGAAATCACCACATAACTCACACTCACGCTCACACGCACACACACACACACACACACACATCCCAGTGGTTTTTACTCGAAGCACACTGCGGTACATTGCAGATATGTAGGCTCAAGCCACATAAACAGACATGTCACTTTTTATTTGCCTCAGTGTGCGACTGGCCTGTCAGTCATATTTAAATCGTTCCTTCTGGTGTGGAAGATTCCACGACAGGCTTCACTTCATTTAACGTCTAATAGAAAGACAGCATTTCCATTTGGACCGTCAGGTACGGGAGCCACAAGCTTAGGCTCAGATGGCACTTCCCAGCCTCTTGATTCAATCTATTTCATGTATTCTTCATGGTTTTCATGCTCTGTGGAAGATCTGAAATCTGTATTTATTAGTTTGCTTCACCTGGACGTTTGTTTATCTTCAATAAACAAGTTCAACATTTATATTATTTCTTTGAGACTATCTGATTGACACCTCTGGGTAGTCCGCCTCATCTGCTCAAAATTACAGTTCTGACTCTCACTTTCCTTTTTTCGCTCTCTCGTTTCTTCCTTATAGATTGATGCTTGCGTTGTTCCAGGTCATTTTTAAGGGTGTAGGTTTCAAAAGGTCACATTGCAGCTCTCAGTCATTAAGTCAAGTGTAGAGAGAAGGAACAATGTAAGTGTTGAGACGAAGGCGTGAGAAAGTTCAGCATAAATGAGATTGATTGCATTTCCTTCCCCGTGTGAAAACACTTCAGCTAACATTGAGATCAATCTCTCGCGGCTTTGCGCAGAGCTTTTGGTTTAAGGAACGCCCCCTTTAAAGCTTGTATATTTCCTTTTGCCACATTTACAGTATGTGGCTGTTAGAATTTGAATGTGAAAAGAAACTCTTCAAAACGGCACTTTCAGTGTTCTTTGCAAAACCATCTGTTATCTACAGATATATATACAGATTTGATTGCTCTGCCTCTCAAATGGATCGCAAATGTTGTAACAACTAAGCCACGGATTAAAGACTCAATTATTTAAATTAAAATGAGTGAATGAATATTGATTTAATAAGCAGATCACACCTCTAGATATACTTAATCTGACCAAAAAAATGTAATGTCTCGAACAGTATTCTTATTGTTATTTTAATCAATAGTTCTCCCAAAATTTAAATGTGCTGATAATTTACTCAGCCATCATCATGCGTCATCAGAAAACCAGATATTTCGCCAGCAGCCATTGGTACTAATTTTGTGTTTCCTGTACCTGCTTTTTTAACTCTTAAAGTGACGACACGCACTGACTTACATTTTATGAATTACTGAGGAGCATGGTTTCACATGAACATGTTTGTTTGTTTCATTGGATGATTCTTCTTTTAAATCTGAATGTAGCTATGCAGCGAGTTTAATCCCTTGTCAACTAAATTGATGATTGACAGGTGAGTAGGCGTTCCTGGGATGTTGCCCGGGACACATCAGCAAGCATTAGCGTTTACACTTCAAATGCAATGCATTCCCATGCATGTTTTTCTTCCCCTGAGTGTGGTTTGAGTGATTGGATAACATCTCTATTTAGTAGTGTCCACTTGTAATCGGATCACCTGAGGCAGATGTTAATATCAGTTTGTCAATGATGTCCATGTTATGCTTGAAATCTATTCAGCAGTTTGTAAAGGCTTGCTTCTCTGTGTATATATTGCATGCTGTTAGATTGAACCAATGATGAGCAAAGGTCAGGAAAGGACATATCATTACTGACCTTCAGCCCCCACAGCCGTGCATGATGAATAAATATGTTTTTATATAGCTTGTAAAACATGTGGATATATATGAATGAGAAGACCATCCATGTGCACACGCGAGTCCTGGGCTGTTTCTAATCAAATTAGACACAGGGAAACACTCTCATCGTTTTAGTTTAGTTTATTTAAAATACCACTGAAAGACTTCAAAAGAGAGACATTATCAATGAGAAATCAGGTGATTAAAAGAATTCTCATGAAATATTGATCCTTGGCTTTTGTGCTTCAGTCAGATTGAGCAATCCATGGATATTTTCTGGTTTAAAACATGCTCAAATAAAAACATCGACTGCTAAAGCTAACAAGATCAAGGCTTCGAAATTGCAGTAAACCTTACAGATAAACTTTCAGTTTGACTTAAACAGCACATCTGTTTACTGCAACTGCCAGGCTGTCCATGATATTTTAATGAGCGATACAAAAAGATATTGTATTCTGTTGTAAAACAAGTTTGTTTAATTAAAACTCCTTTTATAATTGGCTAAACAAAACACACACACACACACACAGGTTTGTTTTTATGGTTTATGGGGACTTTCCATAGGCGTAATGGTTTTTATACTATACAAACCATATTTTCTATTGCTCTACACCAACCCTACCCCTAAACCTACCCCTTACAGGAAACTTTCTGCATTTTTAGATTTTCAAAAAAACTCATTCTGAATTATTTATAAGCCTTTTGAATTATGGGGACAAAGGAAATTGTCCTTATAAATCACCTTCTCGTTGTAATACCTATGTCATACCTATGTTATTATACAAATTTGTGTCCTCATAAACCACATAAACATGCACACACACACACACACTTATTTTTCAGTGTGGCTACCACAAACTAAGATTATTACATCTAAATAATTTACACATAAACTACGTAGGCTATTATCTGACTATCTTGTTATTTTCCTGTGTTGTTTAACTGAATAAATGCATCAGGCCTTATTTTCTAAGGAAGAGAAGAGGGGAAGTAGGAGAAAAATGCATCATGCAATATTTAGTGTGTGAAACAGTCTTGTTAGCAGGCCATGCATTAGTGAGATTAACAACTTCTACATTAGGGGGCAATAAATGATGAGTCTGAACTCTGTTTTACTCATTTGGGAAAAATGAGCTAATGAGGTTCCAGCTCTGGGTTCTTTTAGTCTGGCTGAGACAGACTTTTGACTCGGCAAGTTTGGATCCACCTTGCATCTTTTTCTGGCCAAGAACCGCCCACTTAGCGAGGAAGAGATTGTCCTAACATGCAAAGCAACCAATCACAGCTCACTTTTTATTAGACATGTGCATAGGCTAAAGTATTTTCACTTAAGCTGTTGGCAGATCTCCCTGTGGGAACTACCTACGAAGGCACACCCTAGCAACAATTTAGAGGACCCTAGCAACATAGAGTAACATGAATAAGCAATACCTTGCCACAAAAAAAAAACACCATACATGTTTGCGGCAGCTATTTTTATTCAAGCTGACAACCAATATGTAATAATGACCCTGGTAACTGTCTAGCAATACCCTAACAAACACTTCAAAAACATTAGCAACTGTATAACGAAAAATACAAGCCATATCTCAGTATCAGACCATTACCCTGATAACTACTATGACCACTACACTACTATGTAAACAACAGTGTCTGTGATGCTGTACAAAAAAAGACAGTTGAAATAAACATAAACGTGTGAAGACACATAATCTTAAACAAAGTTTATATTCATTCAGAGAGTGAGAGAGAGAGAGAGTAAGAGAGAAGTAAATCCCAGAACCGAAACACACTCAACCCACCCAACCAGATCAGAGAGTTTTCCAGTTTATGAGGAGGTTTGCAATTTTTGTATGCAGTATGCATAACATTGGCTATGCCTTCTTTCTTTCTTTCTTTCTTTCTTTCTTTCTTTCTTTCTTTCTTTCTTTCTTTCTTTCTTTCAGTCCCAGTTCCCAAAGATTATGTCTAATTCCCATCCTCTTGTTACATCAGTGATTCTACGCTTGATCAGGTGGGCGGGCCTTGAGAGCAGCCAGCCCCCACCTTCCCCTGATCCTCCACTGAGAGAAAGAGTGAGAGAAGAGGAGGGAGGGGTGGGGAGGAGTGAGAAAGAGAGAGAGGCAGACTGACTCTGTGAGCCAGAGAATGGAAAAGCAGTGTGTGAGAGCAAGAGTGAGAGAGAGCACGAGTATTCTGAGTTTATGAGAGCGCCTCCACACGCATCATCAGAACAGATTCACTTCAGTTACCGTAGGACAACACAGCAGATTGCTATCACAGCACACTGAGAGGAGGACACTAGAAGAAAGAGATTGACTGAGAGCCTCTCTTTATTAAGAGGGCACATCGGGGGACTGACAATAGCAGCCAACCAGAAGAGTCGTAGGTCGGTGTGTGCGTGAACTTCTTCTCCTTGGTGCCCGAGAGGTCACCACCCCTGCAAAGTACCGACATGATCCTGGAGGTCTTTCTGATCTTGTGGCTGACAGGTCACGGTAAGCTGCCTGGTCTCCTCGTCTCCGCTGTGTTGTGTCCTGTGTCAGTGTGTACAAGCAGGGAATCTCTGGGAGTTGAACTCCGAGGCTGCGAGGGAGTCTTTGAGGTTTCGGCTTTGAAGCCTTGAGTTTGTGTCAAACAGTTTGAAGTAGTTGCATGGCATCTTGTTTGTCTGTCCTACGAGTTTCACCGAACCCCAAGATCTTGAACTTTAAAAGGAAGCTTAGTGAGGTCAGGCTCTTGACCAAAGCACGTCAATGGATGTTCATCCCGCGCACCGGCGAGCGAACACAACACACGGTTGTTCTTAGACAGCCTTGGAGTCTGTTAACAGTCGGGCTCAGTATCGGCTGACGGATGTTTCCGCTGCTTGCCACCAGGTGGTTGTCTTTGAAAAACAATTGGATTGAATCGGAGGCTTCCGCGGAGACCCTCAGAGGGGTCGCCGGCTCGCTCATACGCTCCCTCCGTGAGCAGCTGAAAGGGGAGGCAGCGACTCGACAGAGCTAAATAGATTGAGTTGATTGTCCTCCTCTGCAGCGACCGGTGACCCAGAAAGGGAAGTTCAAATAAATCCGAAAGCCTCGGGACTTCATTTGAAGCTCCTCGTGCTGGAAACCACCGGCACTGGCTGCTTTGTTTGGGTTCATCAGAAACAAAGTCCTCAGACTTGAATTGAATCGTCTTACGCTACAGAGTTTCAGCTCACGAAGTACAGCTTGTTCTGCACTTCCTAAGCTGTCTCTTCCCTCCCTTAAAGTCTCTTTCCCCCCTTCACGGTTATCACACAGCGTACGCAAATCAAAGCCGAGCAGAGTTGGCAGAGCAATCTTAATGACCTGCTTATCACTCAACTTGTTTCCTCACTCCGAATCTCATTAAACTGTTGCAAATACTGTACCCCTCGCTCACGATCTGATGGCAAGAGCAGCATGTTCACGTAACTCACAATGCTAATATATAACTTCACACACATAAACCCAGACGCACGCTCTCGGTGAGAGAGTGTGAAACTACTTTGACAGTGACAGTGGGAGTAAAGCATGGGGCGCTCTGTTTCTTGTTTAGTAGATCATGCCTCGGGAGGCTGTCAGCTTTATGATCTAGTTTTATAGCAGTATTAGCTATGTGTCCAGCAAATAGGGTATTTTGTCCACTGTGGATGGTTTATTTATTTATGAACTTATTTTCTTTAAGATAATTTGATGATATATTTCAAGAAAACACTGAAGATTAGAGTTAACATAAACTGTCCATGCATCAAATGTATTTACTATGTTATATTATGATAAACTGAAAGAATTATACATTAAGAGCTCATTAGCCTTTTAAATCGTCATTAAAAAGATAATAATTATGGAGATGTTCATACAACATGCTAACAATACACAGTTGTTGCCAAAAGAAATGCAGTCAGACAGTCTGTCTCATCTCCTTCCCATCTAACTCTTTAAAGCTCTCAGTGCACAGAAAGCATCACGCACCAGGCAAAGTCTCCTTGTTTTGCTTTGCTGTGCAGTTGAGTTGAGCAAGGTGTTGTAGTAATAAAAGAAATGAAAGCAGAACAGGCAGGTAAACATGAGATAACAACAGGCGTTCCTGTCGCCCCGCTCTGCCCCTGGGGATGGCAGGTTCCCCCAAAGCTAAATTGTGTTTTACACATCATTGCTGTTTATGGAGCCAACCATTGTCAGCAGAAATAAATATATAAGAAAAAGTCCTGGAGAAAAACAAGTCTTTTATAGAAGGATGAGGAGAAGCTTGTGTGTGTGTGTGTGAGAGAGAGAGACAGAGAGAGAAAGGTTGACAAAAAGTCCAATAGCTGCGCTGGGAGCTTAGAAAGACTGTATTGAGTTTTTGTCAAGAGTTGAGGGTATATGTAGGGCACTCTCACTCTCACTTGCGCTCACACACACACACACACACACACACACCTGGTGACAAGCCCTAACTGATGGCACACATTCGAACAGAAGCTCACCCTTGTGCGGCACAGAAAGCTGTCGCACCACAGGCAAACCTTCTGTCCAAGAGCTTGTCTCTCCCTCTCCTTCTTTCTTTTTTTTGGGCATTTTCTCCCCCTTTCTCACTCTCTTAGTCATAGTTTGTTCATTTTTCTGAAGGGCAGCATTTTCTCTATCTTTGTCAAGCTGTCCACTTTTGTTCCATTTCTCATACATCCCTCGGATAAAAATGTTGCTTCTCGCTGTATCTGTTTCTTGTCACTGCCAGTGTCAGAAGGGATATCATATATATTTATATGAATTTAATTTTCATTTAATTTCTTTAAAAAAAGGACTTTTCATCACAATATTTTTTTTCATCAGCATTATTGTCTTATTTCTCATTAAAAATATGCAAAAATCCTTAGAACAACTATAAATTACTTAAAAATCAAAATTGCGTGAGCCGATATGACTTGGGAGAATTACTTATCTCGACCCACATTTTTCTTGTTTAAATCATAAACCTCATTAAATGTTATTACATTGATGCTTAAAACAAGAAAAGACTATTTGCCAGTGGGTTAAGAAAAGCAATTCAACTTAATTCTAGATATATTTTCTGAAAACAAGTTTTATTATCTCATGAAATTATGCTTCTCCAAGCTTTTAAATAGTTCGAAGGATGTTTGGATATTTTGAAAAACAAGACAAAAATACTGATTTTCTGCATCTGTCCGTTGTTGCTTTTCTTTCCGGTCACTTCCCGTATCAAAAGGGAAATCAGATTCCTTTATTTCTTTCTTTCTTACTTCATTGTCATTTTCTATTTTTTTATCATAAACCTCATAAAATGTCATTACGTTAATGTTTAAAACAAGAAACAACTATTTGTTTCTTGACAAACATCTTATTTCATGAAATGTAGCTTCTCTATCCATTTACATTGTTTGAAGGGTGACTGTATGCATGCAAACACTGGAAAACAAGACAGAAATACTGATTTTCTTGAATTGGTCTGCTTTTGTTCCGTCCGTCTCTCAGATAAAAAAAAAAAATGCTGCTTTTGTCAATATTTGTTTCCTGTCACTGCCCATGCCAGAAGGGAAATCATTGTTTTTCATGGCATTTCGGCAAAACATCATAAAAAAACTCTTTTAATATATGCTTCCAATACTCTGTTGCATGTCTCGACATTATAGAGTGTCTCTATGACACATTATTCAGCTTTCCTCTCTCGCGCTCAAGTCCACTGGGGGCAGTGTGGCATAGATCTGAAGACTCATTCTGGATCGGTCTTCGTCTATCCATATTCCTCTTGTCCTCCATCACCCCCCCCCCGGTCATCCTCTTCTAACCGCTGCCGTCTTGTTCTGATAGAAGAGGCAAACGGTCTTCAGGAGCGTCTGGTGTTAAGTCCCCACGCAGTCAAGGGCGTAAGATGTGTCTTAACCCTCGAAAGCAGGTCTTAGTGTGTCCGCTGTCTCTCTCTCTCTCGTTCACTAAGCTGCACCTCAGCAGGCTGGTAATTAAAATGTCACTTTTGGCTGTTTTCAGGCCAAATCTCGGCCGCCTTATACAAGCATAAAGGGAATCAAACATCTTAGTGTGTTTCATTGTAGAATGTGGAACAGTTTTTCCCTGGTCAGACTTAGCAAATCATTCTTTGTAACATCGCAAATCCTTTTTCAACATGGACGGGGACCAAAGCCGATCAAATGTAATGGGTTTTTACATCTCAGTCATATTTCAGGGTTAATTAAATTCATATTTCTGCATGACATTCCGATTTCTTCTCTGGCCGGGCCATTTTTTATCTTTGGATTAAGCCGTTTTGCATGTCAGTGATGGTTTCTCATTTCCAAACAACATAAATGCATAGTCATCACGGACAGTAAACACGTATCAGTATTCCTCGGTCCTTCTTGCTGTCACTCTTTATCGACAACCAAAGCAAAATTGCTGACACCGGCTCTGTGTGCGGATACATATGTGAGTCGCTGAGCTGTGACCACCTGCTTTTTTTTTGTCTGTACCTGGTGTGAAGTCTGACCCCCTTAATGTTGACCACATAAGGCTATGACCCCACTAATACCTTCCCTGCCCATATTAGCCTACTCCCACTCTCAACCCTGACAACTGCATTTCTCAGAGAGAAGGATGTTATTTTTGAGAAGCAATATATCTTCTGATGAAAACAGAGATTAAATAGATTTTTATATTCCATATATTCTTAGTCCCCACTTCATATAAGTGCAAATTCACTGTTCAGAAAGGGGTTTGGATTACAGGTTTTTCATGTGTATGGAAAATGTGTGAATTTCAGGGGAAAAAAAGAAAAAAAAATATATATATATACATCAATCATGCAAAACCATGGGAAAGTTGCAAACAATTAACAAATCTATAAAAAAAAAAAAAAAACTAATCTATTAACAAAAAAATAACAACATTTATAAAAGCCACAGAAATGTTATGTAGCAATATAAGCAATATGGAATGTGTGTTTCCATTTTTTTGTTTAGCTTTGCCTCTTTAAAACAGAATTCATTGGATATCGAGAGGGATTTTTCTCTCGTCGGTTGAGTTGTTTGTATCTCCTCTGATTCAGGTCAAGAGAAGATGGCCATTAATTTGGCCTTGATTCCTGAAATCCAGTGAGAGCAGCTTTGCTGAGAATCTCTGTGCATAAACAAAATGTGTTTACTGGACTTTATTAAGCTGCACCAATGAAATCAGTGCTCTTAACCATAGTAACAGAAACCAATCCCCCGCCCTTCATCTCTCTCATCCTCTCCCACTCCCCTGACCTGTGCCCACCCTCTGCCCTCCACGCTTATGAAGCCGTCCATGCAGAAATCTCACGGCCATAGAGCTGAATTGCTGGATTTATCCAAATTGGTGCACTTTTTGAGAAATGGGCATTATGTGGGATTACATGTCTGCTGAGCGTGATGTTAAGTAATTCAACCAGATGCTGCGGCGATCAGGAGGTCACCTGCGGAGCTTCTGTTCAGCACTCGCTGTTTATTCCGTAAGGATGGGCAGAGAGCTGG